TGTTACTCAATCCCCTTATGTCTAATAGAACATTAAATAAAACGTGTTACTCAATCCCCTTATGTCTAATAGAACATTGAATAAAACCTGTTACTCAATCCCCTTATGTCTGATAGAACATTAAAACGTGTTACTCCATCCCCTTATGTCTGATATAGCATGAAATGAAACGTGTTACTCCATCCCCTTATGTCTGACAGAACATTAAAACGTGTTACTCCATCCCCTTATGTCTTACAGAACATTAAATAAAACATGTTACTCCATCCCCTTATGTCTGATAGAACATTAAATAAAACATGTTACTCCTTCCCCTTATGTCTGACAGAACATAAAATAAAACGTGTTACTCCATCCCCTTATGTCTGACAGAACATTAAATAAAACATGTTACTCCATCCCCTTATGTATGACAGAACATTAAATAAAACATGTTACTCCTTCCCCTTATGTCTGACAGAACATAAAATAAAACGTGTTACTCCATCCCCTTATGTCTGACAGAACATTAAATAAAACATGTTACTCCATCCCCTTATGTCTGACAGAACATTAAAACTTGTTATTCCATCCCCTTATGTCTGACAGAACATTAAAACGTGTTATTCCATCCCCATTTGTCTAATTGAACATTAAAACGTGTTACTCCATCCCCTTATGTCTGATAGAACATTAAATAAAACATGTTACTCCTTCCCCTTATGTCTGACAGAACATTAAATAAAACATGTTACTCCATCCCCTTATGTCTAATAGAACATTAAATAAAACATGTTACTCCATCCCCTTATGTCTGACAGAACATTAAAACGTGTTACTATATCCCCTTATGTCTGATAGAACATTAAAACGTGTTACTTCATCCCCTTATGTCTGATATAGCATGAAATGAAACGTGTTACTCCATCTCCTTATGTCTGACAGAACATTAAAACGTGTTACTCTATCCCCTTATGTCTGATAGAACATTAAAACGTGTTACTTCATCCCCTTATGTCTGATATAGCATGAAATGAAACGTGTTACTCCATCTCCTTATGTCTGACAGAACATTAAAACGTGTTACTCTATCCCCTTATGTCTGACAGAACATTAAAACGTGTTACTCTATCCCCTTATGTCTGACAGAACATTAAAAAGTGTTACTCCATTCCTATTTGTCTGATAGAATATTAAAACGTGTTACTCCATCCCCTTATGTCTAATAGAACATTAAATAAAACATGTTACTCCATCCCCTTATGTCTGACAGAACATTAAATAAAACATGTTACTCCTTCCCCTTATGTCTGACAGAACATTAAATAAAACATGTTACTCCATCCCCTTATGTCTGATAGAACATTAAATAAAACGTGTTACTCCATCCCCTTATGTCTGATATAGCATGAAATGAAACGTGTTACTCCATCTCCTTATGTCTGACAGAACATTAAAACGTGTTACTCTATCCCCTTATGTCTGACAGAACATTAAAAAGTGTTACTCCATTCCTATTTGTCTGATAGAATATTAAAACGTGTTACTCCATCCCCTTATGTCTAATAGAACATTAAATAAAACATGTTACTCCATCCCCTTATGTATGACAGAACATTAAATAAAACATGTTACTCCTTCCCCTTATGTCTGACAGAACATTAAATAAAACATGTTACTCCATCCCCTTATGTCTGACAGAACATTAAATAAAACATGTTACTCCTTCCCCTTAGGTCTGATAGAACATTCTGCAACACCTCTCACTAAATTCTAACTTCCATTCAAATACCTTGTTAACGGTAAGCTTTACAGCTAACTTATAAAACATTCAATACGCATTTATATCAATCGAGCATACAATTAACACATACACATCGCAAAGCATACAATTCACATTAACAGTGTACAACTATCATATACATCAATATTACATACAACAGTCAGGTTTACGGGCCACTGAAAGTATTTTAATGGAATACAGACAAACAAGTTAATGATTTTCTCCAATTGATTGCATCATATATTTTCAGAAATTATTTGATTATTCAATTATATAGTACTTAGGAAATATATTTTAGGCCGTTTATCAGAATGACTTATTTTCCATAACCGCTTGGACCTATACTCATCTTCATTCTCTCCCTGCTGCCTATAAAGCCATTTTCTGACAGGCTGATTATCAGTAATATACGAGCGATTGTATTTTAAATGAGAGTAATTTGTTTGGCTAATGACGTTTAAACGAAAATTGTAGCGGCTATCGGGCTGACTGGCGTGGGCGGTAGTACATGTAGCTGACTTGTATGTGTGATTCTGTATATAAATAATCAGCTTAATACGTCGTTATATTATGCAAATACCCTCCGGTGATACATTAATAGTAATGAGTCAGATAGCTATATTTAATCATGAGGTCTATATCAAATAAACACGTACTCTACAAGCCAATCTTAGATGAATGCTAATAATATTATAAATAGTTGCAATGTACGTGATTCATTTTTATGATCAGCCGAAATGATACAAGACACGTGAAACACAACTGTATCGTTTTACTGTTAAGTGAGATATACAATTATACAAAATAATATATCCAATACATCTTTCATTGAAAATGCCATTTGTCTTTCTAGATTTGAAAAAATGAAATCAGGGAAAATACAGAACTCTGGGAATTGACTTCTTTTTCTTTTCACTTTATTCGGAAGCAAATTCATATTGACTACCGTCGAATTGCCCCAACGTAGACAGGTCTTTTAAGACAGAAATACCGACGAAGCAACTTATACGTAAACTGATATGCATTTATCCCGAAAATGTTGCTAGGTAGAAAACGCTCTGAATCAATGAATCAACTTTAACATGTAGAAGGAAGGGCTGCACACGTATATTACTACTGGACGGGAGTATACGTAACGATCGCGGCATTAACGTGCTTACGTTTGAAGATTTAGTGTTTGGTTTCCATTGTCGTAACGCTCCGAGTAAATGTCATGACATGGAACTAAAGACGATGAGTCCGTGGTATCTGTATTTTATGATCGTTGGGATAAATAAGATTCAAGAAGCCATATTAACTCTTGTCATTTCGGGACAAACCATTCTTATGATATTTGAATATGAAATTGAAAAATTGAAGGATCTTCCTTCCTTCTTTGAAGAGCCTATCTTTTCATAAAATACCGAAAAATGCCGACTTGAATTGGTACACAGTTTCTACTGCAAAACTGACGTCAGTTTAACTAATTTTCCTCACAACACAAATATTTGTCATGTAGACGATTTCATTCTCTATGTATGTTTCATGCCACCAGTGTGATATTTTAAAAGCGGAAGACAAGATAGTTGTTTTTGTGTGGTTTCAGGTACTCTTTGTGTTCAAATTATTTTACATCTCAAGATTTGTATAGTAGTCATTGGTTGCTGGTATAAAATGTAGAAAATACATAAGTCTCATTAAGTAAATTGAATTATGATCAAGATCAAACTTTCTGAAGACCATTTTTAGTCACCAACCATTTATTTAGTATTGCCTTTTGTCGAAGATTATCGGTCCATGGTGTTGCAGAAAGATGCACGTGTCTGTGACGAACCAGATAAAAATTACTTTAAAGACAATCTATTCAAAACAAACTTCACTTGGCCATAATGCATAGTAATTGTAGAACATTACATGACTCAAAGCTGCTCAATGTTAAGATGTACATACAGTTATCATACTTCACGTTCAATAAATATACTTCACTTAAACATGCAGTACATTAAACAATAAACTGTACGTATCTTCAACACACGTTATTTTGGTAAAGAAACAGTATCTGCAGAATTTGGTTTGATGTATAGGGTTTGACGTCCTACCAACAGCTAAGGTCGTTTAAGGACGTTCCTCCAGGTGTATTCTAAATTCGTGCATGAATGTATGTGTGCTGAAGCCGTGTTGGTGTAATATTGCCTCTTTGTGATAGCGCGGATCTGATGCTGGCTTTATATTGCTATCTCACTGTAATGTCTCATTATACTGACATTATACTGACAACGGGTGAACATACAGTGCCTACTGTGTACACAATTAGCTTACAGTAAATGCTCCACCTGAAGTAAACCTGCTTCACTTAAAGTAAATATACAATACCTGATGCAAAGATGCTGTACCTCCCCTAAAGCTGTATTACTTAAGTAATCATACAACGGATAAAGTAAACACACAATACTTACAGTGTACCTCATTCACCTACAATAAATATATAGTATCTTCAGCAAAAACATGATACATAATACATAAAGTAAACACGAAATACACAGATATTGCAAAAACTGCATGGTGACATTAAAGTACGTTCGTTGTTATCCAATCAAAGTATACGTGAAGAAGTATAGTGATAAGACTTTCGTTTCCAATATGTACTGAGCTTGTACATGTGGCGTCCTACATGACGCCTTGACACCCTTACCGTGTTCAGATAACGTCATTATACATAAACAGACGGTCAGGCGTGATTTTGTTAATCCCTTGTAAGTGAAAACTATTTACATGAAGCGATCAACCACATCCTACCACACGCCATATAATGTACACGTTTGTCATAAATAAAACAATTAATCTGGAGCTTGTACTTGGCTGATAAATCAAGCGACACGAACACCTACAAAACAATACGGAAAATATGTTATAATATGTGTAGTATTATAAATACTTGCAGGATTCAATATTGACTAGATTTACTTTCGGTTGTGACGTTATGAAACAGGTACATGCGACTCTTGTATGCAATCTCATTTATGTCTGAGCTAAATCGACATAATGTCAGACAAAACAACATTTTAATAAACATCAATAATATATCAAACTCCTTATCAATAATATATAATATATCAAACTCCTTAACTCACTATGGCCCTGTAATTTGACATATTTAATAATTTAACATCATATGGAAATATTTACTTGTTCCGTGACATTTACACAACTACATGTAAAATATTAGCGATATTTCATCTCATTTTCTTTTTACATATAGAAGAAGACGAAGGTCCTCGACAGAGATACGCCATCAGAAATGGCAACATGGCCGTGGCCAATAATGAAAAGGTCAAAATGAAGAAAAATGTCGGACTCATCAGCGGTATATCTTTCATCGTTGGCTCTATCATTGGTAAGTCTGTTTGCCATACTTTTGACTTAAATCGTTACATTTGCAATCTGTTTTTTAGCTCACCTGCCCGAAGGGCAAGTGAGCTTATGTCATGGTGCGGCGTCCGTCGTCCATTAACTTTTCCTTTAAACAACTTCTCCTGAAGATCGGACAGGCCTAATGTCATGCTATTTGGCTGAAAGCTGTGTTTGTAGGGGCCTAACAAAGTTTGAGAACGAAAAGGACATTGACCTACTTTCAATGTCATAGCGGTCAAATATGTCAAAACTCTTCAAACAACTTCTTCTGAAGAACTAAAGGGTATAGAATCTTCATATTTTGCTGGTGGCTTCCCGGGAAAGAGCCCGACAAAAGTTAAGAATAAAAATGACCTTGAGATACTTTCAAGGTCACAGCGGTTAAATATGTCAAACGTTTCAAACGACTACTTCTGAAGAACTGAAAGGTATAGAATCTTCATATTTGGCTGGTTGCCTCCTGGGATATAGCCCGACAAAGTTTTAGAATGAAAATGACCTTGACCTTCTTTCAAGGTCAAAGCGATCAAATATGTCAAACGTTTCGAACGACTTTTTCTGAGAAACTGAAAGGGAAACAATCTTAATATTTGGTTGGTAACTTCTTTATGAAATAGATTTTGACCTACTTTCAGTGTCACAGGGGTCCAATATGTCAAAAATGTCAAACGACTTGTTATGAATAATCGAAAGGAATAGACTCATAATGTTTTGCCTGTGGCTTCTTGGGATAGAGCTCACCAAAATTTGCAAATGCAAATGATCTTAACCTATATAAAAGGTCACAGAGGTCAACAACATTTCAAACTTTAGATTTGGCTGGTAGCTTCTTGGGATAGAGCCAACAAAGTTTGAGACGGAAAATGACCTTGACCTACTTATAAGGTCACAGCATAGAATCATATAATAATATTTCAACATGGTAGTTTCAACAGCTGGAGCCGACAAAGTTTGCCAGTGAAATAGTGTCATAATATTTACTGAGAATATTCTGTTATGACTGCTAAATATTCAGGTGATACAGGCCCTCTGTGCCTCTTATTAATAAGACTTTTGATGATTCTAATTTTCAGCAGATCTGTATTTTTTAGCTCACTTGGTGAGAAGGGGACTCAATTTTGTATAAAAGGTGGGCAGGGAGGCGGGTCAAAATAGGGGAAATAGAGGAGAAACCTTTAGAATCCTTCTCCTACCGTAGGGTTTGGTTTGGCTTGTTTAAGTATTGTTTAACAGCTATGGTCATTTAAGGAAGACCTCCCCTGTGTCCAAGATGCATGCGTGTAGTGTACGCGTGCGTGTTTTGCGGGCTGCGATATGTTCGTGTTTGTCTCCTTGTGATAGCGCGGAACTGATGCCGTTTTTATAGTGCTACCTCACTGAAACATACCGCCGAAGACACCCAGCAGGACATCCCTCCCGGTCACATTATACTGACAACGGGCGAACCAGTAGAAACTACCATTTTTACAGACTCTGGCATTTCTCGGCCAGGGGACAGAACCCAAAGCCTTCCTCACAGGGGCAAACGCTCATCTAAAGGCTAAAAGTGAGGCATTGTCAAGGGAGACATTATGAAGAAGGAAGTTGTTCAGAAAGAAGAGAATGGATAAGATCCGAAATTGAGTCGCCTCTTACGATCATGCAATTTGGGCAGCAGATACAATTCGTAAGCCCTACCTGTAGGAACTCTGTCTCCTGCATACAGACACACAAGCACGCATACACTACACACACGGAAGTATGTCCTTAAATGACATTTAGCTGCTAATAGGACGTTAAACAAAATTAAACCAAACCAAATAATTTCATTATTGCTTATGAGCAGGAACTTATAATAAATAAATTCTTCATCAAATCATTAGGTATATAAGCCTCAAGATAACTTTCCGCTTAAGGTAGCATTTAGTGTGCATTAGAAGTATAAAAAAAACCTAGCTATAGTGCAATGACTTTGCAAAAATAAACGTGTGTAATTGAACGACACTTAACATTTTAGTCATTAACATAAATATATTTTGCTATACCAATCGTGCATACACACACGCAAGCACGCATACTCTACACCCATGGGGGCACGTCCTTAAATGACCTTAGCTGTTGATAGGACGTTATACAAAGTTAAACCAAACCATTGCTGCTGAAGTTGTTTTATCCATGTTATATTGCTTACAATTTACTTTTTATTCAGGTTCTGGTATATTCATTTCACCGAAAGGCGTGTTAACTGAAACTGGATCAGTGGGCCTAAGCCTTGTTGTGTGGGTGTCGGCAGGGATTCTCTCTCTTCTAGGTAAGAAATGGTAATTTGGTAAGTGTCAGCAGGTATTATCATCTCCCTTCCAAGTAAGAAATGGTAATTGTTTACGTATCAGCATGAATTGTTATAAGAAAAGACAAAGAACATGCATATGATCTGTTTCGTTGGATAAATGTTCATAGGACAGAAACAGTCTAAATGTATGTCACGTGTATGATATGTTTTATAGAACTGAACCTAAGATGACGTAAAAAACGAAACTTGTCGATTTAATTTATTTAAGCAGAATATACACTTATATCGTTATTGCTTATGAGCAGGAACTTATAATAAATAAATTCTTCATCAAAACATTAGGTATATAAGCCTCAAGATAACTTTCCGCTTAAGGTAGCATTTAGTGTGCATTAGAAACATAAAAAAATAAACCTGTGTAATTGAACGACACTTAACATTTTAGTCATTAACATAAATATATTTTGCTATATATATAGTAGAATATTTACGTATTATATAATTGATAAATATGAAACAAGCATATTTCAATTATTGAAGATTTGGTTATTCCACTTCCCATGTTTTGGTTTATTTTCGAAGCATAGTAATACGTAAGTCGATTTAAATTTTTCAATTTTATAGTTTGTATTTAATGCAGATTCTTGATTTTCTTGTGGGCTTATCACTTTTTAGTTAGTTTCAATTATGTTAAATATCATTACCTCTACCATTCATTTGTGCAATAACAGGATCGTTAGCGTACGCCGAAGTTGGATGCCTGATAACTAAGTCGGGAGGCGAGTACCCATACCTGTGGGCGGGGCTAGGAAGGGTCATTGCCTTTATGTTTGCCTGGACGAAGATCATTGTGTTGACTCCTTCAGCAGTCGCCATCATCACCCTCACCTTTGCCGAATACACCGTCACATTCTTCGACTACTGTGGAGCTCCACAAACACCCGTCAAAGTCATTGCAGCTTTGGCTATCCGTACGTTGCTCTGTGATCAGTTTACCTATAAATATAATCGCCCTTAATGAAAAAAAGGTATATTTACATCGTGATTCGTAGAAAAGTACAGTAATCTACAGTCAGTGCAGCAAGGAACGCCCATATTATACGTACAGTGTACATCGTGTTGTTTCCCATGTCCTATGTAAACAGGGAACGCCTATATTCTAAAAATACTTTTCTGACGTCCAATGTTCTATGTAATCGGGGAATGCTCCTCATTTACGTACATACTGTTGCCGTTCCCTTTTAAGTATAACCAGGGAACGCCCTATTCTACGGAATTATTGTTGCCATCCCCTGTTTTATATAATAAGGGAACGTCTCTTTTTTACGTACATATTGTTGCAACCCATTGTTTTATGAAATCAGGGAACGCCCCTTTTCCACGAAGTGAGTATTGCCATTCCACGTTTTTGTCATGTATGTTTTACTCTCCTGTTTTTCTTGCCAGTGACCTTGGCGATTATTAACTGCTGGGACACGAAGTTAGCTGCCAATGTACAGGTGTTCTTCACCGCCGCCAAACTCATCGCTCTCGTCATCATCATTATCGGCGGCTTTGTATGGCTTGGACGAGGTAATGAGTTCGCAACCATTTATTGCACCTTTCTAAAAAAGTTAAATGTTCATTATCTTAACGATAATGTTCTTTAATACATATTTTCACCAAAATAATATTTATACTGATGGACACACGACCAACCAAACAGTCAGCACATGGAACCTTATTTTAGCGTTTTTATGTGCGGAAATAAAATCTATTTTGTTATATCAGTAAAAGTCAAGCTTATTGGTCAGGAATGTATGAAACGTTTGTTAATTCATATATTTTGATCATAAATCCATTTAAACATTTGAATTTTACTTTGTCCAGAGAAGATTACAGACGTATAATTATTGCATTGATCCTAAGGTGAGACCGCCACCATGCAGAAAGGATTTGCCGGCAGCACGGGTTCAGCGTCGTCTATCGCTCTGGCATTTTACGATGCTCTATGGGCCTATGACGGATGGTATGGTCAATACATTCGAAGAGGATTTATTATATTATCTTATGATCTTTTGATAAGATTTTACCATATTCATGTTTTTTACAGAAACAAAAATCCGTTTGTTTAAATCATGCAAATTTTGTATCAAGCTGAATCTGTTAAATATTGTACATAAAATGAATGATCTCTTCTGATGTGACTTGATAATAAGAAAATAATGGAGAATTGAAAAACAAGTTTGTCAACATTCCTTTATAAAATAATTCTGAAAAAATGCTTTCAAGACTAAATGCCGTTTTCGTGTTTTGTTAAGGAATACACTTAATTACGTGACGGAGGAACTGCGGAATCCGTATGTGTAAGTACCAATCACAAAATTCAAAGATTTGAATTGAGTTAATTGATTAAACTGCCCAAAAAATATATAAAATAGGATTGCAAAGCGATAAATGACAGAAGGAAGAGGTAGGGTGTGGATGGCTGGCTGGTGTATAATTTCGGTTATATGAACGTGTCGGTTTATTGTCGTTTGGTGTGAAAGAAACTGTTTTCTGTGGGAATGAGTGGTGGTTTATTCCTTGTTTACCGACAGAAAGGTTCTGTAGGACGAATGATGTGTATTTCTGAGTATACAAATGTATATAACCTGTTTTCTGGGGGAATGAGTGGTGGTTTATTCCTTGTTTATGGATAGAAAGGTTTTGTAGGACGAATGATGTGTATTTCTGAGTATACGAATGTATATAACCTGTTTTCTGTGGGAATCAGTGGTGGTTTATTCCTTGTTTACCGACAGAAAGGTTCTGTAAGACGAATGATGTGTATTTCTGAGTATACGAATTTTTATAACCTGTTGTCTGTGGGAATGAGTGGTGGTTTATTCCTTGTTTATGGATAGAAAGGTTTTGTAGGACGAATGATGTGTATTTCTGAGTATACGAATGTATATAACCTGTTTTCTGTGGGAATGAGTGGTGGTTTATTCCTTGTTTACCGACAGAAAGGTTTCGTAGGACGAATAATGTGTATTTCTAGGTATACGAATGTTTATAACCTGTTTTCTGTGGGAATGAGTGGTGGTTTATTCCTTGTTTACGGACAGAAAGGTTCTGTAGGACGAATGATGTGTATTTCTGAGTATAAGAATGTTTATAACCTGTTGTCTGTGGGAATGAGTGGTGGTTTATTCCTTGTTTATGGACAGAAAGGTTCTGTAGGACGAATGATGTGTATTTCTGAGTATACGAATGTATATAACCTGTTTTCTGTGGGAATGAGTGGTGATTTATTCCTTGTTTACCGACAGAAAGGTTCCGTAGGACGAATGATGTGTATTTCTGAGTATACGAATGTATATAACCTGTTTTCTGTGGGAATGAGTGGTGATTTATTCCTTGTTTACCGACAGAAAGGTTCCGTAGGACGAATGATGTGTATTTCTGAGTATACAAATGTATATAACCTGTGTTCTGTGGGAATGAGTGGTGGTTTATTCCTTGTTTACGGACAGAAAGGTTCTGTAGGACGAATGATGTGTATTTCTGAGTATAGGATTCGTATAAACTGTTTTCCGATGGAGTGTTATATCCGATATATTTGCAAGCTTTTATTTCCTTTCTTATTTTTCTTTTTGCACCAGTCTTGTAAGATAATGCTGTAAAGCGATCAATTATAATTCTTGTTTTTTGAACTGTAGTATTTGCTCTGCTTTGTAGCAACCTTCCAAGGGCAAATGTTATTGGTGTGGTTCTGGTGACCGTTGTTTACCTACTGGCAAACATCTCCTACCTGACAGTATTGGGGACAGACGGTCTGCTAGAGTCTAATGCTGTGGTCGTCGTAAGTCTTTAATTTTTTCAATAAGTTGGTATCTGGAAGACTAAGAAGCGGTAAATACAATATCATGATTAAAAATCAAAATAATTAATTACTCGCATTGTCGATTGGCCGGAGCCCTCGTATGGAATAATTAAGGAACACTGTATGTACAAATTGCTCATCAAATTAATTAGGATTATATTAAGGTTTACAATGCGTGTTACACAGCATTACAGTGACCGTTTGACTATCAAGAATGGGTTTAGCTTCCAGGAAACAGAACATTTTTATAATTGACCGGAGTTTTACCTGACCCGTGCCTTACAAAGAGAGTTGATATGTGATACCGTATGACCGTTATGAAAGCACAACTGGACGTTAAGTATTTGTTATTTGCGTTCGTTTTGGTCTATATCACCCCTTCACCTGGATGTTCGCACCGTGTCAATACGTGTATGTGCTATTTTACATGTGTGGGTTTGGGTCGCTTAAAAAACACAGAAAACACCATTTCTAAATGAAGAAAATAGAGATAGAAATATTGGCTGACATATGTAGCTAGAATATAGAAATATACTTAAAAATCAAGTTTATATGTTTAAACACGAGGCCGTATTTATTGTTAAGCCATTTCTCAATTTACAACAACCGCTATTGTCATCGCACAACGTTCGTCGATCGTCCGCACAAATGTACGCAAGCAATAATCGTCCAGATTTGAATCGTTCGCACATCGTGCATACATCATGCACACTCCGTGCGCACATCGCGCACACATCGTGCAACGTTGTGCGTTCCCACAACTGTATATCAAAGTGGAAGTTAAGGAGAGGTTACTTCATTTAGGAAAAACAACAGTACAGTGGGACAGGGATCCTCAATAACAATATCGCAGTGATAAAAGCAAATATTTCACATTAAAATAAACACTGATCAATGTGATATTCGAAGACAATTCGATTTTGTAAATGTTATCAATCTTGATACATCCAAATCAAAAAGCTCCGTTCACTCGAGGGTTATAGTTAAATGCCACGTGATCTTTTCCAAGCAAAGATACATTGATAACATTCTTCGTAATTTTGAGCTGGGTATTTCCGTCAAATTGATTTTGCCTCATCAACAATCGAGATGAACACTAAGGGTTTTAAATGCGTTTAACTTCCGTTTCAGACATGGGGAGAAAAGGTCCTTGGATCCGCTGGAATCATCATGCCTATATTTGTATTGTTTTCTACCTTCGGTGCAGCCAATGGTGCTTTGTATGCCGGAGTAAGGTACATTGTAACATACGTCAGGATATATTTTACTGAACAAACACAGCATTTCTTTTTATATAAATCTGTTACTTTAATGCAACTAATAAACAAAAGTTATCTGAATTTAAATTGCAAACATCTGGTAAGCATTAAATCATACTGTTCCTATCTTCGTTCAGATTCAATTTCATGTTTGATCATCAAAGCATGTACAGAGTTTATCGATGTATAATAATCGGACCTGTATGATGCTATCAGGCGCGTTGCAGTTATCTTTCTTTTTATGAAACTCTCAGAAATTGAAATGATAACGAGCAGATTCCGCAGTAATAAAGTTCAACTTTGCAAAGTTTCGATACTACATGTAATACAAACAAGTCATCCGAACTAACGAGATTCGAGTTCACGCGATATCGGGGGTATTATCTATAATTAATACCGGACTCGGTTCAAAATCATTAACAAAACAATGTTTGCGGACAATCGAGGTTAACTTTAATATCAAATTCAACCGCTGACAAAAAAAGTTCAACCTTAAACAGAAACCAAAAAACCCGGTCTAATGTAAATGTATTCATTCAAACCAACGTGTCTTACAATGACGTGACTCATTCGTGCACGCACAGATGCATGTTTCAGGATACACGACATTAAGAATTTATATATTTATGCTTACAGGACCCTTTATGCGGCTGCCCGAGAGCACCATTTCCCTGAGGTGTTGTCGTACGTTAGCTGTAAACGCTACACTCCGACACCCTGTATCATATTTACGGTAAGACAATGTTTATAGACGCATGCTCATCAATCAGTGTTAGTAATACATTTTCACCTACTTGTTCATTGATCAAATTCCTCGTACACATTCATACCTGTCATTTTTGTAATCACTCATACACACAAATGTAGGCGTAAAAAGGTACGTTTTCAAGTTAGTGTAGCTGACCATGTTATTTCTATTATTAGTGTTGATTTTGTAATCTTAATTTGTTGCTATTTAAAATCATGTTCATCAACTTCCGTTAGTAAAACGCATGCGTCCTCAAATTGTGTCCTTAGTGTGCATTCAGGAAGGTATTCCTTTGTATGAAATAGTTATACTCGTCGTTTTTATATTAAAGTACCATTGTCTAACAACTAATGACACGTGTTTAAGTTTGTTAACTTATTGTGGTCTGTTGTTTGAAATAGTTCTATTTAAAAACAAATAATCTAAATTTGTCAGCAGCTAAGAAAACATCAGGACTAGGGAAATAAATCCTGTCAAATGTTTTTTCTTGTTTTAAAGAAAACTGAAATATTAATTATATTTTCATAAGTGAAATAACAGGAATTATACATTCGATAAAAACGTATATCTTCACTGCAGCGAATAAACTTGAATGTTATGAAGATATCACTTTAAGTATTGTCCAATCATATTGACACTTTCTATTCACTGCGTAGAGTTTCAGTTTTGACTTTTGCAACATAATAATGTTTTTTACATAACGCTACGAATTGCCGCATGTTTTTTAAAAGAAAAAGAAAAAATGAAAAAATAGACATATATATCTAAATATCGAGATTCCGCCATACTTGTAAAATATATATGGTATTCAAATATCCTCTATACATAAAAGGAAACAATTTTCTTTTTTTCAGACGATAGTATCCCTGTTGATGTTGATACCAGGCAATATAGGAAGTCTGATCGACTTCTTCAGTTTTGCCGCCTGGCTATTTTACGCGCTCACTATCTTATCGTTAGTTGTGCTTAGGTTCACCATGAAGAACGCACATCGCCCAATAAAGGTTAGCAGGATTTTTTTCCAGAGCAAGGTTTCTATATATACATGGTTTCTATATATAAATGGTTTCTATATATAAATGGTTTCAATGGTTTCTATATATAAATGAAAGATATGAACAGTTTTATGACTGACTATTAATTATCATTTTCCCGGAAAATAAATCCTCGAAAATGTTTAAGACGCATGCGAATAGATCATTAGATATGTAAATTTCTATATTGTATCTATGGTTTTTACGTAGCTCTTTCGATCACCAAACAAATGAATATTAATAAATATGGTTATAATTAAATCTTCCCTCGAACAGAGAAGAGTGACAGATGTAAACAGATGTAACCATCAACACAAACTACCTCGACGATTATATTTCATAACATCCATTTTCCCCTCCAGGTCTTCATTTTGTTCCCCCTGATTTTCATGGCGTGTTCAGTGTATCTAGTGATAGCACCCATTATCCAGGATCCCGCCATCGAGTTCCTCTACGCCTTTATATTCATAGTCGGCGGTCTGGTATTCTACATCCCCTTTGTACACTTCAATCTAGATCATGGGTGTTTCCGTAAGTATGATCACGTTACCTTTACCAAATATATTTGTAAACCTGCTGGAAGAACAGCACCTCCGCCCACAAAAAGGAGAAAACATAATGGCGTAGAGCAGAGAGAGAAAGTGAATACTTCAGTGTATACCATTTTGTTATAATTGATAATGTGAAAGAAATTTTAAACGAATTTTATTTATTACACTCACACCAAGACGTATATAAATATCATACAAATCTTATTTAATAAAACCTCCACCTACGGTACCTATAAGTGAACAGCGCCAATTGACGTTTAGGCTAGGTTTAGTGTTAGCAGTAGTTACAGGACGGGGGAATATATTCAAATGCGATGATTAAATGAAAGTTTCTGATTTTTGTCTGGAACATAAGACAGCAGGCCCCGTTTTCACGAAACTGCTCTCATGCTCAAGCATGGATTTTATGCTTAAACCATCTTTTTTGTAACTCATCTAAATCATGTGACGCAATCAAAAGGTCACACTTCTTCCAATTCCTTAAAATATTACTACATTTAGAAATGTATTACAGGAACAAGAAATTAACATATTAAAGGAAATAACATCATTCGATCTCTAACAGCGGACTGAAATCAAGAAAAACTTCGACTGTTTAAGGATAAAATAAGATGTTACTGTAGTGTTTTTTAAGAATTTTGATTGATATGTTAAAAATGGTACTCGATAACATAGGAAGTCATACAGAAACACATTTTTGACAATAAAAATATGTTTATATTAAGTACAGAACTGATTATTGCTTAAACATCCTTTTTTTTACCATTAATCCATTGCTAACCTTCGTATTGACAGGACCTGTTACAAAATTTGTGCAGTACTGGCTTGAGGTTGTACCGAGTCCATACGAGCCTGAGGAACCCTAACCTGGCACTAAAGGATGCCACAACCGTGAGATCCATTGGTTATCATCAAATGAACATTTCTATAATCTGTGTTATAACCAGTGTTGTCTAGAGTATACGTACGGTGTGTCTGTGTACATTGGAATGGACCTGACGTAAACGGCTTAGTTACTGGTGAAAGCTTAGGCCGTTTACCAGCTTTCAAACACCTACGTGATCGCAATTTTTGTATGTATTGAGCATAATAGTTCCCACGTGATAAAGGCATTGCACAAAGAAACTAATCATATCGTCATGCATGTGAACATGGCTTTCCTTCCATGTTGTGCTTGGTATTGTCTTTACCCAATTAAACGTTTAAATTTGCGGGATTTTGAAACTGGGAAGGTAACTGATCGCTTTATCCTATCTCCGCATTACAATTTAAATGCAGCTTTTATTTATTTTTTTCCTTAATATGCTCTCCAAGAGAATGCATCGTTAAATTTTTGGTAAGATACACCTACTGCATAAACAACGTTTAGTAATTGAAATCGGTAGTTATACAATGTATTTGTTATACTTCCTATACAGAATCTTTTAATCCATGTGTTTCTGGTAACACCGGTACATGCGAAAGCCATAGACTGCATAGAAACGGACACTTGTATTAAGTATTTTATACAGAATATGAATATTTGATATATCATTGACTGTACATGTACACATCTGATTTTAGTTACTTAATGATGTGTCAGCTGATTTCAGAGTAGCAAGGTGCTGGTTACAGTAAATACTTGCCGTATTATCGTGTTTTTATTAGTGCAAATATTATGCTATGCAATATTTTTTATATTACAACTATACATATTATACATGATGAATATCAGATAATAAACTATTAACAATCAGTGATTTTGTTTGATGTAAGCCTTTCAACTCATAACAAAGACAACTCCAACAAGAAATGTGAATGAAAAAAGGTATTTGTATTTATTTAATGGATATAGCCACCTATATCAAAAACTTATAATTATTTTGTAGAACACAAGCTATTGAGTTGTTGCGAATATACCAAACATGGTAGCAACTACATATACCAGATCTATAACCAAACATGGTAGCAACTACATATACCAGATCCATAACCAAACACCTTAGCTATCCCAAGTGGAACAAATAACGTCATGTGAAATTATTCGTACTGACCAAAATACCGCGGGTTGGAGGAGGATGGATTTCAAATACCAACTTGGATCTGTTGTAAACAATTTGTAACAGGGCTGCCTAATGAGTTGAGGGTCGCGGTCACTTTGGTCACTTTAACCAACTAGGGGCGGGCATTTCGACTAACGCCATCAGCAGCCAATCAATGACCTTCACTATTTACAGAAGCAGTTTAAGTGTCTTGTACCAGAACATCGTTATATATACATATATAATGTTGCTGACTTTATTGTAATCCTCACAAAATTTCGCATTTTAACTTGTTATGATGTTTTAAGCATAGTAAATTCATCAATGAACTAAATAGCCAGATATCCAAATGTCCATATCATCAAATACTTATCTACAACTGTATCACTTCACATTTGTTCTTGTAACCTAGACCAGGTAATGCTAACCGATATCAAATGTCATCCTGTTCAATTTGCCTGGTCCCTCTAGGAGACCCTTTGAAACTACATTAACCATGTTCTTGTCATGTAGTGTACAGTGGAAACATAGTTTATATATATATCTCCGCATTACAATATATTTTAATATATATATATATATTTCATACTGTCAAAATGGGGTCAAACAGATTTTCCTCAATATTTACAATTATAAAGCTTAATAAGTGTGTTCACCAGTATCAAAGATGTCTTAACTCTTCGATAATTACCTGCAGGAAAACAATAAGTCAGCAGAAGTAAATTTACAAAAGTCAAGTCTTGCAATTTGGCATCATTCCGGGATACGAGCTTTGTAATAAATATAACGACTTGACCTGTTGAACAATATATTCCAGATAGCAATACAATTGTTTGGTATCAGTAATACAGTAATATTAATTGAAGGAACGAATCCTTAACCGTAATATAAAAAAACACTATATATAAATACGAAGTATAAATTTTTTTTATTTAAGATTGAGGTTTTCGATGCAGAGAGCCAAACAAATCTACAATTATACTACTCTATATTGCGATTTCGGACAATGGAACCCAAGAGTGGTCCTAAAGGTCGAATAATGTAAACACATGTTTAATGCTTTCCGAAATATACCTTGAACGAAAAGAGAGGCTATATAAAACCCTTCATAATGGTACAGTACTTTTACATTTGATTTACATTTACAAAATATTCTTACATCAATATATCATGTAAGCCCTGTTAGAACACATACACGCTACAATGTCACGGCCAACCACGTCGACTGACAATCAACCAAGGCTAAAGCTCAATCACTTGTTCCCTTAAACAATTACTATGGTGTATTGACGTACCTTTAAAACAGATAGTATGTCGACAAGAACAACATTTTCTCTCATTTCCGTTTGTGTAAGATAGAGCTTTCTCTTACCCTGGACAGGTATCCGCACTTTTGCCGGTGAGAGATTTCCTTGTCTCACCCTAGGGTTGAGACGGGGGATTCCCCTATTCATAACAATGGCATTGCATCACTTCAACAATACAATGACGTCACGTCAACAATCCATCAACGTCACGTCAACCCTGAATTTAGCATGTAACGTTATTATTACATTGTGTATATGATACACAATGGGAGCACATTACAATACAATACAATGACGTCACGTCAACAATCCATCAACGTCACGTCAACCCTGAATTTAGCATGTAACGTTATTATTACATTGTGTATATGATACACAATGGGAGCACAGGGTAAGAGAAAACGAATCATCGGGGAAAGATTCGGGGAAAGAATCGGGGAAAGATTCTTTTAAAAGTTTTAAAAACTTAAGAATCTTCCCCCTCTGGTTGAGATTCTCCTATCCAACCCCCAAGGGGTTGAAAGATTCTATTATTCTCACATACTTCACTGGGTGATCCCGTTGTTGCTAGTGAAAAGATAACCCTATCTTACACGGGGTAGAGAAAGACAGATGACACGCGCTATGACGTCATAATAATGGATTGTCGACATGACGTCATGTTATTGTTTCCGTGATGTCATACAATTGTTGTGAATGGGGAATCATCCGTCTCTACCCTAGGGCTTTGGGGTTTGCTGGAAGAATAAGATCGATGTTTATTCCAACTGGAATTTGTTTATTTGTATGTATGTGAAAAAAATAAATTCAAACATTGGTCTGTTCCATAGACAGAGATATCTCAACCCTTGTGTAAGAGTTTGGCTGGCCAGCACTCGGCAAGCCTCGTGCTGACCAGCCAAACTCTTACACTCGGTTTGAGATATCCCTGTCCACGGAAGAGACCCATGTAAGATTCTATTATTCCAGGGTAAGAAAGGGGCGTTGGAAATTCCTATCTTACATCCCATTCCACGTGACGTGACGTCACAATGACTCCACAATGACGTGACGTCCCGAATTGGGAAAAATAAAATAAAACACATGTCTCAAGTGTTTCGGAACTTGAATGCAGAATACAGCGAAAAGGACGTTACTAACCAAACCCTTCCAGTAGAGTTAACCACCTTTTTACGTAAAGCAATTACTTCCTCTATGTGTATTGTGCATGTATGCATGTGTGTATATGTGCTAGCTAGGGTATTTTGATGTATTTGTCTCCTATAATGCTGCCTAACTGAAATTGTACGGACAATGGGTGAACCAGTTGTTGCCATTACCCCAAATGCTGAACGTTAGTCAGGGAAAAACATCTTCCAATTTTATGGTGGTTGGTGTGTCCCGGCTTGGGGACAGAGCCCATTGCCTTCCCGACTGGGGAGAACGTTCAACAACAAAGCAAAAAGTGATGTTTTGCAAAGGAATCGGAAGGTAGTTAGAAGTAGATCAAAATACAATGATCCCAATTATTGCAATGGGTGGAGTTATTTTGGTCGGATGTGTGTCCCCAATTAGAGAGCACAAACGCAAATCCGCATATCTGCGGCGGGATTCCACATAAGCCACCTACGATCATGCAGAGGGTGAAAAACAGTTGTTTTATTTTCTAAATCCCAGACCTGAAAGGGGGGCACCCATAGTATAATGTTGGCTTATTTTATTGTGGCATCAACAGACATTTTCTGCACCAAACACTTGGGATAATTTCTTTCAACTTCCTGACTACCTTTTGGATTCCTTATTTATACTCAGCAAAACGTCGGTTTTCGACACAAGTATTTAGTATTTGCACAAGAGAAGAAGATTACTGGTTTTGTCACCCGATCGAAGCAAACCCATGTCCTTAAAGCTGGTGCGTATTGCTCTGTGCTTAACGTTCGGCTTTAAATGGGTGGTGTTAAAGACTAGTTAACCCGATGTCAGCGTAATGTGTCAGAGTTAAGCGGCAGGTGCCTGTGTCCAGACTACGGCATTTCAGTCAAATTAGCATGTCAATGACAAATTTGTGATACTGAACGAATTAAATCGTGTATAACCTGTTGAACAAATGTAATTAGAAGGAAAAGTCAACTTCGTCTCTCACTCATCATTACACAACCATAATACAAATATATGAAAATATCAAGGCGGCAAAAAAAAGACTTTTGTTTTACAAGATTTCCTATGGACAAATTAAGGTTACACACTATATTCCCAGTGGCTTAGAAAATACTTCACACCATTAATGACAACAAAACTTCGGAGAATGTAATAAATCAAATATATACTTTACTTCAAAAAGGAAATTAGTTACAGTACAATTTCCTTAAAATCAGAAAACAATAATATACACAATAAACGTTACAAAAAGTTCTCAAGGGCACATCTTTCAAGAGTGTTGCTTATATTTGGATATCTTTCACGGGTGCGCAATATTTGGTATTACTGAAGATACTGTTAGATATTCTGTTTAATACATATTGCGAAGCGACACATCAAGCAGACAATGCTTGATTTGGATACTTTTACAGCTGGCATGTCTAGACAATCCTACGCGACAAAATATAGTTCTAAGTGCAAAAATTTCTAAATAAAATAGGAGTGATTTAAATATTCTTTTATTTCAATAGGTTTTAACTTAATATTCTTAATATAAGTCCCGTCAAAACAACACAGATCACGACGCGTTGAGCGCCGAATCCAAAATGGTGTGCAGTGGGGAGAACTTGACTTGTTGTCCAGATTCTGAAACGGACTCAGCTAATTTCATGGTCCTGATGATGAAATATTATCAGTAAGTTATTATTTATTACTATAACTTTTAGAAATAATCCTGATTCTTTTATACTTTGTTCCGTGGCCTAACCTGGCACTTGGAGACGTGGACGCTGACATGTTTTTTATTTGGTTCGTGCACAGGGATTCGTTACAAATGTCTGAAATAGAAATATGCTATACTGATATGGGTCACATCACACATAAATATACGCATGTTGTGTTGTGACCCATATCAGTATAGCATATATGTATTTCAGACATTTGTAACGAACCCCTGTGGCTCGTTTTTCGATCAGATAGGCCTAGACTAGTTGGAGACTGCTGGCATGCATTGCCTGCTGGCTGAAAGTTAAAGTTATAGTTGAACGTTGTGTTTTCCCCAGGACATAGCCCAGCCAATTTATTTGTAGCAGATAATTACTTCGGGCAGTGGACGAGGATGATGTATCTGAACCGGCCTATCTAAAGGATTTTCTCGAGGCCTGCTTGAACTTATGTGCTTGCGGTGCATATGGCGGCATTGTGCGTACGTGAGATGTCCTTGCTCTGTTCTGAATCGACATTCCCGTGGCCGGTTATTTGATCGATCTAATTTGGTGGGATACCATCCTC